CCTGGTGCCCAGCTTCAGAATATCTCATCTGGTCTGCAGAGGATCTTGGAGGGGAGGCAAAAGTTCCAGTTGCTGTGGTCGACCAACGATATAGGTATATAAAAGGAAAGAGATTCAGCTCGGGGCTAAATTAAAAAGCAGATCCAAAAAGGTAGCAGAGATAGTAGGAACTGCAGATGCTGGAGAATCTGAGATAACAAGGTATAGAGCTGGATGAACACAGCAGGCCAAGCAGCATCAGAGGAGCAGGAAGGCTGACGTTTCGGGCCTAGATCCTTCTTCGGAAAATTTTCTGAAAATCTTGGCCTGTTGTGTTCATCCAGCTCTACACCTTGTTATCTCAGATTCTCCAGCATCTGCAGATCCTACTATCTCTAGGCAAAGGATGTGATCTTTTTGGATTTCCAGAAGACTTTTGACAAGGTGTCGGACCGGAGGCTGCTAAATCAGAATAGAGCTCATGCTGTTAGGGACAAGGTACTGGCATGGATAGAGGATTAGCTGACTGGCAGAAGGCAGTAAGTGGGGATAAAGGGAGTCTTTTTCAGGGTGGCAGCCGGTGACTATTGGAGTTCTGCAGGCTCAGTGTTGGGACCACAGCTATTTATGTTGTACATTAACGATCTGGACGAAGGAACTGAGGCATTGTTGTTAATTTTGCAGGTGACACAAGCTAGGTGAAGGGACAGGTAGTGTTGAAGCAGCAGGGAGGCTGCCAAAGGAGTTAGACAGGCTAGGAGAGTGGACAAAGAAGTGGCAGATGGAATACAATGTGGGAAAGTGTGAGGTTATGCATTTTGATAGGTTGCATAGAAGTGTAGACTATTTTCTAAGTGAGAAAAGGTTCTGGAAATCTGAAGCACAAAGGTGCTTGGGAATACTAGTTCAGGATTTTCTGAAAGGTTAACAAGCAGGTTCAGATGGCAGTTAGGAAGCTAAATGCAATATTAACATTCATTTGAGAAGTTGAAGGCTCTGGCCAGAATGCATTTGGAATATTGTGAGCAGTTTGGGGTCCCGTATCTAAGGGAGGATGTGTTTGGAAGGGGGTCCAGGGAGGTTTACATGAATGATCCTGGTGATGAAGGGCTTGTTATAGGAAGAGCTGTTGAAGATTCTGGGTCTGTACTCAATGAAGTTTAGACAGATGAGGGGGGATTTCTTTGAAACTCTCAGAACACAGAGGCCTGGATAGAGTGGACATGGAGAAGATATTTCCTCTAATAGGAGAAACTAGGACCTGAGGGCACAGCTTCAGAGTAAAGAGATGACCCTTTAGAACTGAGATGAGGAGGAATTTATTCAGTCAGCATAGTGAACCTGTGGAGCTCAATTACTTGGCCTTCTATGGTAATGAGTGTATTTAAGACAGATAGATAGGTCCTTGATTAGTGAGGGGCTCAAGGGTTACGGGGAGAAGGCAGGAGAATGGGGTTGAGATACATATTGACCAAGATTGAATGGCAAGACTTAATGGACCGAATGGCCTAATTCTGTTCCTATATCTTATGGTCTGAAATGTGTAAAAATGTCAAAAAGACAAAAGTAAAGGTGCTACATCCGAATGCATGGAACATTTGCAATAAGATAGACAAATGAACAGGGCAAATAGTTATAAATGGGTACAATATGATTGCAATTATGCAAACATGCTTACAAGGTGACGAAGACTGAGACCTGACTATTCAAGAGCTTTCAATCCTTAGGAAGGACACACAAAAAAGGAAAAGGTGGTGAAGTGGCATTGTTACTGAAGGATGAAATCAGTGGCATTGTGAGAAAGGATATTGGCTTAGAAAATCTAGCAGTAGAATCAGTTTCGGTGGGGCTAAGAATAAGTGGTCAAAAACATTGCGTGAACTTGTTTATTGACTTCCACACAAAGGTACTGTAAAGGTAGCCTTAAACAGAAAATTAGCGATTCATGTCAAAAGCGTGCTGCAATAACAAAGAGTGGCTTTAATATACATTTACAGGGATCGGTTAGCTCAGCTGGCAAACAGATTTGAAAGCCTGGCAAATTTGAAATTGGGGTTCTAAATCCAAACAAAGAAAACTGAAAAAGTATGAAAGGTGAATCAGCTGTGACAGATTGGGCAACCTGATTAAAAGACTGATGATGGACAGGTAATAGTTAATATTAAAGAAATGAGTGCATGTATTCCAACAGTTACACATTCCTCTGGTGAAAAAAATGCAACAGAAACAGTGGTTCAACCATAGCTGACAAAAGAAATTAAGGATAGTATCACATCCAAAGAGAAGTCATATAAAGTTGCAGAAAAAAATTAACAAGCCTGAAGACTGGAGGTAATTTAGAATTCAAAGGAGCACAGAGATTAAGAGGAGAAAAACAGAGTACAAGTGTAAATTTACAATTAGTCTTTATTTTCCTTGCAGACGTTTATGTGAAAAGAAAAGGATTGTAAAAAGAAAACAAGATTAGTGAAGATAAATGTGGGACCCTTACAATCCAAACAGAAAAGAATGGAGAGCAGAAAAAGGGGGACCATTTAAACAATGACTTTAATTCCATCTTCATGGAAGAAGATGCAAATAACGTGCCAGAGATGTGAGGTAACCAAGGGTCCAGTGAGAAGAAGAAATTGAAGGGAAAAAACATGTTGGAGAAATTAATGGGACTGAAAGCTGATAAATTCCCAAGGCCTGATAATCCACATCCGAGGTTAGTAAAGGAGATAGCCCTTGAAATAATGCATGCGTTGGTTATCACCTTCCAAAAGTCTGTAGATTCTGAAATAGTTCTACTGGATTGGAAGGTGGCAAATGTCACCTCACTATTTAAAAAAGGAGGCAGGGAGAAATACTAGGAATTAATCCTGTTAGCCTGACATTAGCAGTTGGAAAATGCTGGAGCCTATTATAAATGATAACAGGGTACTTCAAAAATACAAACAAGATTATATAAAGTCATCATGGATTTATGCTAAATGTGAAGTATTCACTTTAATTGAAAAAAACAGAATTGCAGACTATTATTTAAATTGTGAAAGATTTGGAAACGTAGATGTATAAAAGGAACCGGGGTGTCCTTGTACACCAGTCACTGAAAGCAAACATGAAGGGGCAGCAAGAGAATTTGACTACTGGAGCAAGGTCGTTTTAGTGCAGAATTACAGGGCCTTGGTGAGACCATACCGGGAATATTGTGTGTAGCTTTCATTGCCATTTCAAAGAAAGGCTATACTTGCCATAGAGGGAGTGCAGTGGAGGGTCACTAGGTTGGTACGGGAGATAACAGGGCTGTTCTAGGAGGACAGATTGATTCAACTGGGCCTATAATCACTGGAGTTTAGAAGATATAGATGGGATTTCATTGAAGTGTATAAAATTCTAACAGGGCTGGACAGACTAGATGCAGGATCTTATTCCTGATTGGAGAATCTAGAATCAGAGGACACAGTCTCAGGATATGGCATAGATCATTTAGGACTAAGATGAGGAAACATTTCTTTACCCAGAGGGTGATCAACCTGTGGAGTTCTCTCCCAAAGGAGGCCAAGTCATCAAATACATTCAAGAAAAAAAAAGATAATTTTCATGTCAAGAATTTTATCAAGGGGTATGGGGAGAGAGCAGGGATATAACACAGAGATAGAAGATTTAGTCCTGGTCATAGGGGTAGCACAGTGGTTAGCACTGCTGCCTCAGCGTCAGGGGCCTGGATTCAATGCCACCCTCTGGCGACTTCCGGTGTGGAGTTTGCACATTCTCCCTGTGCCAGTGTGGGTTTCCTCTGCGTGCTCCGGTTTCCTCACACAGTCCAAAGATACGTAGGTCAGGTGGGAAATGCAAGGTTACAGGGATAGGGTAGGGGTGGGTCCAGGTAGAATGCTCTTCAGAGAGTTGGTGTGGACTCGGTGGGTCAAATGGCCTGTTTTCACACTGTAGGGATCATATGATTTTCTATGAAATGGTGCAGTGGGTTCAATGGACTGAATAGCCCACAGCCATTCTTTTTTCTCATGTTTCTAATTGTTAGCAACACATTGTTGAGAATTTAAGTTATACAATACACAAGAGCTTAGCATTTAAACTTGGAGTTCTACCTGCAAAAAAAAAACAGAATCAAACCAACACTCGATTAATCTACCTGTTCTGAAGCAGACCCATACTGGATTTGAAAAGTTAGCTCTGTTTCTCTCCCCACAAATGCTGCCAAATCTGCTGAATTACTCCAACATTTCCTGTTTTTAATTTCAAACTCCAGCATCCACACTGAATTTTCTCCCATTGAATGTGTGCCTATAACATTTCATCCTATTTCAGTTTGTCTGCATTTGGGTGTGTGCATGTGCATTAACACAGATGCATGTAAGAGTATGTATGTCAATCATGTGTTTACGTGCACATGTGTATGTGCGTGAGTATGTGTGAATGTGTACACAAGCGTGTGAATGTGCATGGGTGTGTGCACACAAGTGCATATGTGTCCGAGTGTGTATATGGTTTTCTGTATGCGTGTAAGTATGCATGTATGGTTGTCTGCGTGGGCTTACTGTGTGTGTGCATATATGAAGTTATGTAGGTATGCTTGAGAGAGTGCGTATGCATAAGCACATCCATGTTTGTATGTGAAGATGAGTAAGCAGGCATGTGTCAACATACAGAGCAGCATTAGTCAGCATGTATTAGTGTCAGTCTGTGTGTCAGTGTGTCATTCTGTGTATGTATGTTAGTGTCAGCATGCATCAGTATGTCAGTGTGTTCAGTTAGTCTGTGTGTAATTCAGAGAGTGCGTGTGTCAGTCTGTGTGCATCTGTGCAGTCAGTCAGTGTGTATGTTCAGTCTGTGTCAGCGTGTGAAAGTCTGACTGTGTGTCTGTGTCTATGGTATACGGATATACCAGTATGCAGGCAGGTCAAGTATAACCCACCACTGAGCCTAACTGCAGAGTCGAGTACTCTTTGGTTAAACAGGCAGCCCCAGTCTGTGGCTCTTACTTCAGCTCAGAACAAAGCTGTTCCTCAAGCACTCACCTGCAGGCTGTCTGCGTTTCTCCAAGTCTGCCGGGGCCGTGGATCAGAACCGTGTTGCTGGCCCCATTCAGGGCAGCCAGGGACGGAGCGGCTCCATGTTCCACAGGGTCTGCAGACAGTGAAAGAGCGAACGCCAGGCAAGCTCTCTCTCTCTCTCTCACTCACGGCTCCCCGGCTGGACTGTCATCCTACCAGCACAGTCTCCTCCCTGTCTCCGGGGATAATGAGCTGAGCCCAGCCCGGCCCGGCCCAGTTGACAACAGCGCACTCACATGGGCCCCTGATACAATGTTTACTGGAAAGGCTTCATTCTCCTGGAAATAGCAACAAGACACCCTCCCGAGGCGAAGATGTGGCAGCAGCAAGCAGGGCGATAAGGTCAGAAATCCGAGCCAATGCACGGCAGCAAACAAACAAACGCTGCGGAGCATCACCCCCTGACAGGGGGGAGGAGACACTGCAGGCTGTGGCACTCCCTTTAACTATTAAAGGGATCTCTCCATCCAGTACAGAAGAGGCCTTTCGGCCCATCGAGTCTGCACCGACCTACCTCCACTCAATCTATGAGTTAGCAGAGAGGCTGACGTTTCGGGCCAAGTTTCAAAATCTCCCCTTCCCCCTACCACATCCCAAAACCAGTCCAGCTCGTCCCTGCCTCCCTAACCTGTTCTTCCTCCCACTTATCCCCTCCTCCCACCTCAAGCCGCACCTCCATCTCCTACCGACCAACCTCATCCCGCCCCCTTGATCTGTCCATCCTCCCTGGACTGACCTATTACCTACCTACCTACCTACCTACCTACCTACCTACCTACCTACCTACCTACACTCCATCCCCGCCTCTTCAACCTGTTTGTTTCCTCTCTTCTATCCGCCTCCCACTCTCTCCCTATTTATTTCAAAACCCCCTTCCCCTCCCCCTTTTCTGATGAAGGGTCTAGGCCCGAAACGTCAGCCTCTCTGCTCCTATGCTGCTGCTTGGCCTGCTGTGTTCATCCAGCCCTGCACCTTGTTGTCTCGGATTCTCCAGCATCTGCAGTTCCTACTATCTCTTTTTAAAGACTGTGAGGTTTCCCACCTCAACCACCCTGCCAGGCAATTAATTCCAAACCTCCAATACCCTCTGGGTGAAAATATTTTCCTCAAATCTATTTCTAATCCTCCTGCCTTTCACTTTAAATCCTCTTGTTATTGACCCTTGGACTAAGAGAAACAGCTGATTTCTATTCACCCTGACCATGCTCCTCATAATCTTACACACCTATGTCAGGTTCCCCCCTCAACCTTTTCTGCTCCAATGAAACAACCCTAGCCTACATCAGCCTTTCTTCACAGCTGAAATGCTCCATCTTGGTCAATCTCCTCTGCATCCCCTCTAGTGCAATCACATCCTTCCTTTAGTGTAATGCCCAGAATTGTACACAATACTCCCAGCTGTGGCCGAACCAAAGTCTCCTGCAATTCCAACATGACTCCCTGCTCTTATAATCTATGTCTCAACTGATAAAGGCAAACATCTCATATGTGTTCTCAATGACTTCATTAACCAGCCCTGCCACCTTCAGGGATTTGTGGAGACTTCACGAGGTCTAGAGTTAATGTTGAGGACTCCCAGAGCAACTCCATCTCAACTTTTTACCTTTGTTGGGTCTGTCCTGCTGGTGGGACAGAACATATCCAGGGATGGTGACGGTGGAGTCTGGAACATTGTCTATAAGGTATGATTCCATGAGTATGACTACGTCAGGTGGTTGCTTGATTAGCCTGTGAGACAGCTCTCCCAATTTTGGCACTCGCCCCAGGTGTTAGTAAGGAGGACTTTGCAAGTCAACAGTGCTGTTTATGCCATTGTCATTTTGAGTGCCTAGGTCAATTCCAAGTGGTCCGCTTTTATTTCTCTGTTGAGACTTTGTAGCGATTGATACAACTGAGTGGCTTGCCAGGCCATTTCAGCGGGTGGTTGAGAGTCAACCACATTGCTGTGGGTCTGGAGTCACATCAGGCCAGACCAGGTAAGAATGGCAGATTTCCTTCTCTGCAGGACATTAGTGAATCGGATAGGTTTTCTGACAATCGACAATGGTTTCATGGTGATCAGTAGATTCTTAATTCCAGATATTTCTTAATGAATTCAAATTCTGCCATTTGCCATGGCAGGATTTAAACCTGGGTCCCCAGAAAATTCCCTGAGTTTCTGGATTGATCATCTAGTGATAGTACCACTAGGTCATCACTTCCACCTTGTGGACTTTAAGATAACGTGTGGTAAAAGGAAAAGAACAGACTAAACAAGCCTTGTTTGTTTGTGAGGCCAGGCCTGGACGCTACTTGCAGGCTGAGCTTTGATTAAAGTGTTTCCAATAGACACAGTGACCTGCAGAAGAGCATTGTGTTTAAATAGATAGCAGAAGTTGACTATTAACACAGCTAGAAGCTGGGAATTGGTTTCAGCAAGTCTGGAAAAGATTCTATGTTCAGGCAGTGACAATTGTTGAATGGTAATTGAGGCCCTGAGAGTAGTTGATCAGTCTATCAGGACGGAAACAGAAGTGAAGATTTTTTTGGAGCTATGTTTTTTGGGATGCTGCTGAGATAGCATGAAGATTTGAAAGCTCTCCGTAAAACTGCTACACCAGCTTCCAGAAACCCAGAGAGGAGCAAACTGAATTTGAAGTATTGCTGTCTTTGCTTGGGTGAACTGAGAAAGACACCCTGAACAACATTCAAGAAAAGCAACTAAGGAGTCCACAATTATGCCTGTGAGACAACACATTGTGGAAGCCATTTATGTAATCTGGCCAGTTTTGTTGTTCATCCAAGATATCCCTTAATTGTCTGGCTATCTTTTATGTTAATGGGGGGCTGTAAACTGAATGGGGATTGAATTTAAAGCATTAATCAGTTCACATTGTTATTGTTTAATTTTTCCTCTGGTAAAATTACTGTGTATTTAATGAATAGTTAAGTCTTTTATTTGAGATACTAAACCAGTATCCGGAATTAATCATTCACAAAGTTTGGGATTGGTTATTCAGAAGTCTGGTTAGGAACCAAAGGAGTAATTATTGGGGGTCTTCAGCAGTTTAATTTTATTGTGTTGCGAATCCAGCAGTAGAAAGGCTGATTTTGTTCAGTTGTCTGTCTATAATAGACTGCTAGAAAAGACAAACAGCAAAACAAAGTTTAAAGCTATTCCACAACTCAATCTTTTCACATACGCTAAGTTTCAAAGAAGTAGCATTCTAGTCTCAAACCGATAATTGTTCACCACCCTTACTCTTCCCAGTTTCTTTCTCTTGGACTGTGGAGAGAGTTTTATGATTCATACAAACATAGAAATGAGGAACAGGATTAGGCCATTCGGTTCCCCCCCATTCAATATGACCAAATGATCATCTATCTCAATGCTATATTCCACCTTATCTGCATACCCCTTAATGCTGTTGATATCCAACAATGTGCCTGTCTCTTTCTTGAATATAATCAGCAACTCAAATTCCTGCCTTCTGTGGTTGAGAATTCTAAAGATTGACTACTTCCCGAGAAATGCTTTCTCATCTCAGTCCTAAATAGCCTACCCTGTATCCTGGGATTGTGTCCCTGGTTTCTAGACTCTCCAGTCAGGATAAACATCCTTCCTGCATTTAGTCTGTCCAGTCCTGTTGGAATTTTATAATTTCAAACAGATACCATCTCACCCTAATGAATACAGGCCCAGTCTAAACAATCTCTCCTGCAAACCCCCAGTAGAGCCTAGTGAACCTCCCCTGTCCTCCCTCTATGGTAGGTAGGGAGACAAAAACTGCATGCAATCCTCCAGGTGTGATCTCACCAAGGCCTTGTATGACTGCCATAAGACATCCTTACTTCTGAACTCAAGTCCCCTTCCAATAAAGGCCAACATACCATCTGCTTTCCCAGTTGTTTGCTGTATCTGCCTGTTTGCTTTAAATAAAAAAAACAAAGAACTGCGAATGCTGGAAATCAGAAACAAAACCAGAAATTGGTGGAAAAGCTCAGCAGCATTTTGAAGAAGGGTCACTGGACTGGAATCGTTATCTCTACTTTACCTGCTGAGTTTTTCCAGTAATTTCTTTTCTTTTGGCTGTATGCTTTCATTGACTGGTGTACAAGGACACACAGTTCCCTTTGTACATCCACACTTCCCAATATATTATTATTTAAATAATCCTCTGCCTTTCTGTTTTTAACTCTGAAGTGTATAACATTTTATTTAGCCACATTGTATTGCATCTGCTATGTGTTTACCCACACAACCAACTTGTATAAATCACCTTGAAGCCTAATTGTATTCTCCTCACAACTCTCAATCCTGCCCAGTTTTGTGCCATCACCAATCATGGAAATAATGCATTTGGTTCCCTCATCGAAGTCCTTCATATATATTGTGAATAGCTGGGGCCCAAACACTGATACAAAAATAGGTGGGAGGGTATGTTGTAATGAGGACATAAGACATCTATAAGGGGTTATAGATAGGATGATTGAATGGGCAGATGGCGTTTAATGTAGAAAAGTGAGAGATCATGCACTTTGGTAGGAAGAATCCAAAGTCATACTTTTATTTAAATGGAGAGTGATTCTAAAATACTGAAATATATACTCCAACAAACAAAGGGCAGGAATACCGGGCGGTAAATGTTAAAGTACACCACAAAACCTCACCAGCTGGAAACATCAAGGCACATGAGCTGGCTAGGTAAGGAGCCTGGGAAGGTGAGCCATGGCAACCACCAGACCTAGAACAGATAGGAGCAGTGGCAGTAAAACAAACCAACATACAGGATCTTAAAGAGGCTCAGGGCACTGATGACCAAATTCAAACAGCTATCAAAAGGAAAACACGTGACAGTTATGAGAATTGGAAGGACCAAATCACGAGAAAGGATGGATTAGTCTGGAAGGGAGAACTCTATATAGTGCTGATCTGAGATCGTAACCAAATAATTTACCAATGGCATGACATTCATGGGCATAAGGCAATAGAAGCCACAGGGCAGAGAATCAAAGCGCTATATTGGTGGCTAGGTCTTGACAAAGTTTTTAAGCATTAGATTGACAACCGTCTAATTTGTGCACAAAATAACCCAAATAAATATGTTCACAGGAGAACTCTGGCATCTCCAATCTTTGGAAGGCCCCTGGATGACCCTCCAAATTGATGATATTTGCCCCACTTGCCCAGGGGGACTCAAATACAAATACTTCAAGGGTGGAAGCTTTTCTCACCCAAACAAACACTGACAAAATCACCCCAAAGGTTTTAGTACGGCAGATCTTCACAAGATGGAGTCATCCCCGTGGTCAGAACAATGCTATCACTTCACGACCAAGTAATGCAGGAAGATATGAACACAAGTTCCATAGTGCGTACCAGCCCCAATCTAGTGGCACTGCTGTGCAGATGAACTGCACTCTGAAG